TGCATCTCACTCGACCAGGCTCTTCAACGAACTTCATCAGAGACCCGTGGTATCTGGCACACGTTTTTGCAATTTCTCTCCGTGCTTTTATCTTATTTATTTATTTTTAATCATTTCCCCACCCAAGCAAGACTACCAGGACGTAAGGGGTTACTGACTGTTAGAGAATATGAGAAAAAACTACTATTAAGGAGAGAGGTCAATAAAAGAACAAGAAGTAAGAAGACAGAAGATAACGATTGACATTGCATTTAAATTTTTGAAGATCAAAGGCAATAAAGCTATTAGGATGCAAGGAATTACTGACTGTTAGAGAATAAGAGAAAAACTATGATTATTTAAAGAGGACAATATAATAAGAAGAATTATAAAGACAGAAGTTAACCATTGACATTGCATTTACATTATTGAAGATCAAATTTGATTGGGAAGCAGGAATCCGGAAGTGAGTTTCCCAAATGAGAAATGCGATAGAAGAAACTGTTAGCATAGAACTTACAGTTACATCTAGCCATTTCAACTGTTAAATGATGGGACCTTACTGCCAATCTAGTACTGCACTTTAATTCATAAAGTCGAGCTACCATAAAAGAAAGTTTATCAGAATAATTACCATGAAAGTATTTATAGAAAAATCATAGAGGAGCTATATTTCGGCGGTGAGAAACTGTCTTAAGCCGAGTAACATTGCTGATTCAACTTTGGATTTTATCAAGAATCTCTAAGTACATAGCAGGAGCACCAAGCCAGGTGTGGCAGCAATATTCAAAGCAAAGACAAATGGTCGACTTGTAAATATGTAAGATAAATTCTGTCGAGAAAAATTGTCTAGTCCGACACAGTGAACCGATTTTCTTAGCAGCAGATCAAGCAATTGATTCAATATACTCTTTCCGCCTCATGTTTGCTGCAGACGTTAGTACAAGAAGTCGCAATAATTTCCTCTCCAGGAGGTTAGCATCAGCTATAATGATGGAAGTTAAAAAAAAGGTTTTCTCAGATTATTAAAAGTGAGTAGTTTCGTTTTTGAGGCGTTAAAATTAACAAGCCATTCATTGCCGCATTTAACAACAGATTTTAGGTACATTTTGAGATCAGATGCCATCTAGACGTTAAAGAACCGATCAGAGTTACTATTAACACGGAAGTAAATAGTTATGACATCAGTACAGATAGATCCTTTTTGAGATCAGCTGTAAATGTAACGTTAAAGAACCGATCAGAGTTACTATTAACACGGAAGTAAATAGTTATGACATCAACACAGATAGGTCCTTTTTGAGATCAGCTGTAAATGTAACGTTAAAGAACCGATCAGAGTTACTATTAACACGAAAGTAAATAGTTATGACATCAACACAGATAGGTCCTTTTTGAGATCAGCTGTAAATGTAACGTTAAAGAACCGATCAGAGTTACTATTAACACGGAAGTAAATAGTTATGACATCAACACAGGTAGGTCCTTTTTGAGATCAGCTGTCAATTTGACGTTAAAGAAACGTTCTGAGTTACTATTAACACGGGAGTAAATAGTTATGACATCAGAATAGATAAGTACTCTTTGAGATCAGCTGCCAATTTCTTTTTTTCAACAGCGTAAAACAAAGAGGCCTTCAACCAAACACGTATATATCTTTTGCTTTCATTCCGTAAATATACATTTTTATTTTATATATCAGTTAAATATGTTATAATTTGACAATCAATAACTAGGTATTATATGTCCTTTTTAATAAATTAGACAGATCAGCTGTCAATTTGACGTTAAAGAAACGTTCTGAGTTATATATATATATATATATATATATAAATATATATATATATATATATATATATATAAAAAAGAATATCGATAAGTACTCTTTGAGATTTAGCTGCCAATTTCTTTTTTTCCAACAATCGTAAAACAAAACCGTCATATAGGCCTTCAAATCGGTAAACACGTATATATCTTTTGCTTTCATTCCGTAAATATACATTTTTATTTTATATATCAGTTAAAACATTTGTACTATAAAATAACGTTAAACAAAAAAAAAAATGTCTTATAATAACTATATATTATCTATTCATATATATATATATATTATATATATAATTAGACAGAGGTACGATACTCGAAAATGGATTTAAATAAGAGACAGACCATCAAATTAAGAAAAAATCATCATTCCTTTGTCTTTCTAACCAATCCTAATTGTTTTATGATCCCTATATATATATATATATATATATAATTTGGATATATATATATAAGACAATGGTTAAACGTAAAAAAAAATAAGAAAAGATTAATTCCATTAAATAACACAGTATATATAAGAGTTGTCGGGACCAGGGCAAGTCTCTTTATCCGGGTTTCTCTTATATCCGAGAGAAATAGTTTAGGTAAGACATTTACCAGATAAAATCTCTCTTAATCAGGGTTTCTCTTATATCCGGGTTTGGTCTATTTTGTTTAGGTAAGTATAGGAAAATTTGGGACCAGATAAAATCCTCTTATATCAGGGTTTCTCTTATATCCGGGTTTGGTCTATTTTGTTTAGGTAGAACCGGGGAATAGCTCCAGATAAAATCTCTCTTATATCAGGGTTTCTCTTATATCCGGGTTTGGTCTATTTTGTTTCCGTATATGGAACACTTTCGGACCAGATAAAAATCTCTCTTATATCAGGGTTTCTCTTATATCCGGGTTTGGTCTATTTTGTTTAGGTAAGTATAGGAACACTTTGGGACCAGATAAAATCTCTCTTATATCCGGGTTTCTCTTATATCCGGGTTTGGTCTATTTTTATTATAAACAGGGACCAGATAAAATCTTAAACATTTTCTCTTATCGATAAAAGAACGTATAAACATAAAAAATGTCTTTATATCAGGGTTTCTATATCCGGGTTTGGTCTATTTTGTTTCACATATATATATATATATATATATATATTATATATATATATATTTTGTTTAGGTAATGGACACATTGGGACCAGATAAAATCTCTCTTATATCGAAAATGGGTCTATTTTGAAAGTATTTAAATTTGGGACCAGATAAAATCAGATCAGGGTTTCTCTTATATCCGGTTTGGTCTATTTTGTTTAATGAACACTTTTTGAAGATAAAATCTCTCTTATATCCGGGTTTCTCTTATTCCGGGTTTGTCTTTTTGTTTAGGTAAGTATAAAACACTTTGGGAATAAAATCTCTAATTCAGGGTTTTATGATTTGGTCCTTTTTGTTTAGGAAAACACTTTGGGACCATTTTTCCGCCAGTTTGGTAATTTTGTTTAAAGTATTTGGGACCACTAAAATCACTCTTATATCAGGGTTTCAATGGTTTGGTCTATTTTGTTTAAAAA